ACGTGTTTCATGCAAATTTTTTAGATAAAGCATTGAATTCCTTTTAAATCCCTTGATTTGGATTTACTTGTCTCATTTGCTTTTCTTTAATTATGTTAAAAATATTAGATGTTTTGGAACTTCAATATTAGTTCAATAGCATAACTTCTTCTACATTTCAAATATAGTAATGATGAAAGATCTCAAAACTATGGAATATCCATTGTTATTTAAAGAAAATATCAGTTGAATTAGACTATTTCTTCAAATTTAGCTGCATTATTTGGGTCGAAGGATTATGGGACCCACAAATCAAACAATTTTAACAGGAAATCTTAAGCATATGAATTAAGAGTTCTAATCATTGAAGCGATCCACTTATGACCCCTTTGACCCCTAAATTTCATATGTTTGCCTCCTCTTTCTATTTTAGTTTTCAATTTCCTTTTGGGGACTTTTTACTTCTTTTTAAATAGCTTTAATTTATTTCTATTATAAGCATTTTGAAAAAAGTGTACATAAATTCCAAACTCTGAACGAAATCAAAAAATAAAATTTAAAAAAAAAATACTACTTTTCTATAGTTTGTATTATAGTATTCCATCAAATCATGTAGCATAGGTTAAGATTTCCCCTATAATTTTGTTAAGTAGTTAAATTTAGTATAAAAAGATTTGAATATTGTGCAATTTTATTTGAAGTCCATATGTATTTTATCAATCAAATATAATTAAGAAAGGAGTATCCAAATAATAGGCCACTGAAAAAATTATGGATCATATTAGAAATACTACTAAAAACTATTACCCTCAATTTTTCTAATTCACTATGAAAGAAAATTAAAAGCCATTTTGTAAAGCAAATCAATTTTAATTTATGTTATCCAGTTATTCTCAATCATTTATTCTTGTGATAAGACTTACTTTGTACATATAACCAAGGTTTTCATAATCACCTGGAATCAATCCAAAAGATGTGTTTAAATCAAAATGAAAACACATGATTTTTTTCAGTTTTTTCCTAGGAATCAATCCATTTCGATCTAAAATAGGCCAAAAATTTAGTATGGATTGGCATCTAAAATCAGCCATTGATCACATTAGGAGAAATTTTTGTGAACTTTAGAGGGTTTACCCAATCAAACTTGGGCAATTTGGCACAAAAGAAGAACCTCTCCCACCAAGGCAACAAACTATTTTGTGAGATATTTTGAATAAACTTGTCTCGATTAGTGTTCTGACAAGTTAAATTAGTTGGATATGCATCAGTTTAAACATGATTATTTTGAAAAATATTAGTTAGCCTTTAACATAAATTAAAATGTAAGGAAAGATGCAAGTATAGCTATGACAGGTTGTCCTATAATATGGAATACAAAATATGATTCATTTATTTAATATTAAAATATTTAAATAAAAAATACTATAATATTATAAATACTGTTGTGCAAGATATGATATATAATTGCTTCATACAATATATCACAATTGAACAATTACAATCCATGTCTTTTATTTAAATATTATTTCTTATTTTAAAATATATTAAATAAATAGATTTAGAATATAATAACTAAAATATTTTTAAAATATTAAAATTTGAAATCAAAGCTAAAATTGAACAATAAAATTGCACACCAAATCTGTAGAAATCATTGAAAGCACAAAAACAAAAACTATGTTTTAGGACACTTAATAACCTTTGTGATAGCTTTACTACTCAAGTATGGTAATGAAATCTTAATCAAAACAACAATTTTTTTTGCCAATTACAGCAGAATTAATAAATGGATATCTTTACCTCCTTGTTTTATGGTCCATTAAAGCCATAGATTCAGCAAGCAGAACCATGTTATCAGAGACGGCAAGTGTAAGTCATGCATTTTTTTCCTTCACAAATGCTAGTTTCCTTGTGCATCAATTCTAAACAATCATTTTGAAATTACAATGTAGCCCAGTTAAAACGTTCAAGCGCAATTATACATGAAATATTTTTTGCTTATTCATACAAAATGCATCTAACTAGACCTCTCAAAAATAGAATTTTGGGGATGCTGCAAGGTATTATGTTCTGCTGCTGGCCGAGCAAAGCATTTCTACTTTACATTTGCAATCGTATGTTCTTGTTGTCGAGACCTTTAGGCAATGAACCTTCGGGACTACCGATGCTCACCATGCTAGGCAAACTTGCCATAGGCGCTGATTGGAAAGAAAAGGCTCTCAAGTTTTGTTGATTGTTTTCCTCCTAAATCAAGCCTAAGGGACTTAATTTCACCGCTTTTCCTATTCTGAGTCTTTCTCTCATTAATTGATTTAGAAGATTATCAAGCTTGTAGCACAACAACTCGCCTTATTTCTTCATTTTATTCTAAGATGAAAGATGACTCGATTAACTCTAAAAGAACAACTTCAATTTGGTGATCAGGTTATTCAATTTAACCCACCTCAGACATTCAAAATTATTTTCAGCAGGCAAGTTGAGAACTGATTTGAAGGCGGGGATAGCTGACTGCTCATGTCCTTTTTGGAGTTGAAATTTATCCCTTCTCCTGCACCTTTGTGTGCTCCTAAACTTAGAGATAATTGTTTTGATGTCGTGCCTTCCTAAAACAAGAAATATGAGGGTAGTTGTAAGTTACTGCTGAAGGGTTGGTAGTCTCCTCCTATACTAATCTCTCATTAACCTAGTAGATTAATGTTTAAAATCTAATACACTATGTGGATTAGCGTTAGCTTATAAATGACATGTTAACCTTAACGAGCTATTAAATGTGTCAATTATGGATAATGGATTTTAAATTTTTTAGCCCTTGAATCATGCATCATCATAAACTTAAGCCTCCATTGAATTGATCAACACTTCGTCGGGCAGAATTTAGGTTGACCAATATTTGACCGAGTAGATTTGACAATTCGCTAAGTTAAGGGCTATAGAGGAATAGCCCAAATTGCATTTCAAGGCTTCTCCTTATTATTTTCTCTCCAAAGGGAGTCAATATGATCCCGTCAATACAACAACTTAAGTTAAACCCAATATTATCCTAATTACTCCGATTTTAAAGAATTTATAAAGGAAAATGTTGAACAAGCTCATTTAAAACTGCATCAACTCTATTATTAAAAGGGTAACACATTATTATTTACGTTTTTTAAGGATTAGAGTTAGGACAAGATGACCTAGATGAAAATCATAATTTATCCGTATTTTTTATTCTTCAATCAAACTAAATTTCAAATGCTCCATATATAATTTATTAAGAATCAATGTTTAGATAGATGGCCCGATGAAATCCTAATTTATCCTTCCTTTTATTCTTCAATCTTACTAGTTTCTTGCTCGTTGAACGATAAACTAAATGCTCCCTCTTTATTTTAGTAATCATAAGACCATATCTTCTAAAATCTTACATTTTCATACAAATTTACCATAACTTAAAATTCTAACAACTGAATAATGTTATATATAAACATTATGCATAATGATGTGTTCCAAGAACCATAATGAATAAGATAAAAATATTTATATATGAATTCCATGTTCGACCTCGATGTAGTCAGATTTTAATTGGAAACTCTTTAATAACTACACATTTGCTTATAATGACAGTTACTACCACCATCACACATCCTTAATAATTTTAGCATATCTATGAATGACACACTTCTCTTTAATTGTCAATGAATTAAATAACATGATACCCAGCAATATGCCCTTTCAATATCAGTAAAAAGAAATGAGCATCATCTCATTTCTATGATTTGCTTTTCTTAATTTATCTTAGCCAAAAAAAACGTTAATCTCCATAGTTCATCTTGCACGAAAATTAATTCTCCAAATCCAATGGCATAGTCCTTAGATTTTGAATGTCAGGGTAAGATTCATGCTTTTCCCATAAAGGCACAATTAATCATTCACTGTGTTCTTAAAACTTACTATCAAAATACTCTCATTTTGTATCTCTTACCATTAAGGTTTCACTAAAAATATGCCCCACAACTCTCTAAATCTCAATAAGTGTCATCAGGACATAAATCTTTACATTTATACATCATATACAAAAATAACCCAACAATTTTTTTCAATTAATCATAGTATTTAATAAGTTACATTGCTTTCTCTCTTCCATGCAAATATTTCTTTAAGCAAGTATTCTGATTAACACAGCATTCAAAATAAAACTAAACCCACCAACCCTTAATGAGCTTAGCATTTAACTCAATCTCCAAGTATGAAACTAAAACTATCCAAATAAAAGGTAAAAGCACCTAGTTGCAAGTCAACTCCTTAAGTATAAAATCATAAATATAAAAATAGTGAGGATGGGTCATTACAAGATTAACAGTGAAAATCTTAAACATAGTGAAGTAAAACTCCAAAGTTAAGCGAGTACATGCTAAAGCGCTCCTAGTATGGGCGACCTATTGGAAGTTGTACAAAGTGAAAAAAAATAATGAGACCAGTTAAATAGATGCATTTAGCTTCTTGATGAATGCGAGCCCACAAATTGAATATAATCAATACACCTATCAAAAGATAGTTACGAAATATTATGCAAGAGAAAGTGCTACATCATATGAACCATCAATTGAAATCCTTTACGACAAAATATTGCATGGTGGAAGCAAACTCTTAAACTTATAAGAGGAAAACTCTATAATCCTTTCTAATTGATGGATGATTCTAGGGTACATGAAAAACCACTACTGAGAAAGTTAGCTTCTTAAATAAGGGAACTAATAAGTTCCCTTTAGCACAGTGTAAGGGTACTCTAAGACATCGAGAAGCATGGTAGGAATTTTTCCACAAAGTTAAATTTACTCATGTCGAAACACTTCGAATAATTGACATCATAAAAATTACATCAAGGGGGGTGAAATCATGTGATCAGTTAAGCAAAAGTAGTAAATATGAGAGCTCAAGCAATTATAAAAAGTATACAATTTTCAAGCTTTGGATTCAAAAAATGAGGCAAGATATTAGAATAGCATAGGAAAAGAAAAATTAAACAAAAAAATGCATACCAATCTGTGCAATTTCCTTAAGTTTGGGTCTCTTCTCAAGGGTCCATATCCAAGAAGGCTTGGTACCTTTCTCTTAAAGAACTTAACGACATGAAATAAAACAAATCCACATAAGCTGCTTCTAATTAAAAACCACAGGTACCAGTTGAAATTATCTTTCTTCCTAGCTCTGTAATTCAATTCTGCCTCAGACTGCCATTTCAAGAACCAAGTAGAATCAACAGCGTAATTTACTTCCTCAGGCCATGCCATACCTAAGATCATTCTCACCTATAAAATAAAGTAAATTAGAATGATCATGAAAATACAATTACTTAGCAAAAGAAGGCTCATGTGATAATGCATTGTCACATTGGTATGAGTGACTAATTCATAAAAAACAGAATAATTTAAGGATCAAGAGTTTCTTACAGGCTTTGGAATGATGAACTCCGCAATGGGGAAAACAATTGTAACCATCAAATCATCTGTGATATTTTTTATCCCAGAGAAAATTGGTTTCCTCAAAAATGAAACAGCAGCAGAGTTCCAGATTCCAATCAAACACTGAGATGAGAACCTTGTAATCAAAAAGAACTGTTCACGCATATCTAGATCTGAGAATGGGATCCACATCAACTGAACGGTGGTGGGAGTACCAGATGCAATCATCCTGCTGTAGAGACCATCAAAGCCTCCAAAGTCCTCAAAAAGCAGGTCAAACTCCTACATCACGTCAGGTAATTCCAAAGAATAAGTAGTTGACCACAAAGGACAAAGTGAGGGTCACAAAATCATCTTCTCTCGCAAGGAAGAGCATTTCAAATCAAATTAAATCGAAACCAGATTCGAAAATATAAAAAGAGAATGAAGCTGACCTTAATATCAACAAAATATTCCTTGTCATCTCCCTTAAGTGCAACATACATAACAGCCCAGTCATGTCTGATGCGAGCATTTTCCACTAATTTCTTTGAAACTGCAAATGGAACAGCAACAGGATCCATTTCCCATCTCTTCTTTCCATCATTGTACCATGTTTTAGCTACCAACCTCTCCCGATCTATGAGAATACGTTGCTGTAATGTCCATGCAGCAAATGACTCAAAATTGTAATCACAATCTATAAACCAATCATAAAATAAGCAGATGTTTTTTCCATAGAATTAAATTGCATAACATACAACAATCACAATTTTTAAGAAAATGAAGGCGAGGTGGCAAACTGATAAGGAAATTTTGAAAAGGTCAAGACAGGAAAAATTAAATAAATTTGGAATCAACAGGTAAAAGTTCACTTAAAGATGGAATTTCCTTTCTTGATGGCCCAAATTTAGCATTGGAAGTATGTTTTCAAAATTCTGCAGGTTATAATTGACAAACTAAATAGTAGTAAGCAGGACATACATGAAAGCAAGTTGAATTTTATTTCCAGTGCAGTTAATCACAGCAAGTTCAAAGTTACTAGTGGTTTCCATTAAATTTTGGAAAAACTAAAATTGTATGCTGCACCTGTCTTTGAGCCACGTATTGTTTTCCCTGTTCCATGTTGTCAAGCAACTGCTTTTTCAAGTTAGCTTTGGCTTCTTCACGCCATTTCTTCCATCCATGATATGAATGAACACGAACAGATTTTGGAATAACAATATCCTTAGTCCCAAACATCCACTTCAATTCAACTTCAGGAAAACCCTTGAGAACTTCTGCTTCTGGTGTGCTTAAAAGAAAACGCTTTTCATCACCAGAATTTTTGAATTCTTTCCTTATCTGATCTTCTAGATTCTTTTGCATCTGCTGTGATTCTTTAAGCACTCGTACTATGTTTTGAGGAAAACCTTTAGTACTATTATCTATTAACATTTCAGCATCAGCATCTTCCAAAACCATTGGGAGTAGCATCTGTTCCCAATATTCCTTCTGAGCTGTTTCTAATTCTTTCTGAATGTCCTTCCCAGAAATCTGAATGGAAGGGTTCCTCTGTTGACTGAAACAACATACTAGTCAACATTAAAAAACAAAATAGAGTACACAATAAAACGATCAAATTCATATTAAAAAACAACTTCAACCAGCTCGACAGATTGAAAAATAGTACGTGCTATTTCTGATTTACAAAATAATTAAAATATGTCTACCATTGGTCATTGAACTGAATTAAAACATTTAAAAATAAACCAAAAAATCGCATTATAATGACTACCCAAAAAAACAAGGAAAGAGAAAGGAGTATTTGTTTGAAGTAATGCAAAAGTTGCTTCAACCAAACTAACGTTTCACTGATTAAAAAATGACAATGGCTGCACCACTTTTCAATATAGTTTGTTCAATATGCAGAAATTGAAGTGCACTTTGCATGATATGTGGCATATTGATTCACAAACTAATATAGCATCTAAATGAAAACATTAGCAGTGGTAGTCTTAAAAATAATAATAATAATAATAATAAATTAAAAAATTAAAATATTAAAAAATTTAAAAAAATAATAATAATTTTGCAGTGGTTGTCTTATTTTGATGTGCCAAAGAGCGATATTGTGCTGAGCACTAGAACAAATGGCAAAACAGAAAGCCGCATCCCTTGTTTCTTGTCCCAAAGTCAATTTAAAATTCAACTTAAAATCAATTGGGAAGTCATAATATAATATGTGTATGATATACTAGTGTAAAACCTGAAGGATAAATTGGCAAGTAAACGCCCAATCAATCAACATTGTTCAACAACACATTTCAAATTCATAATGTCAGATGAGAATCCTTGAGAACCTTTTCAATTGCATAATAGCATTGTAAATAGAACTGGAAAAGATACAGTTGGATAATTTTTCAATGAGATGGTTAGGTAAGGTGTATATCATAAAGGCAGTGCAGTTTGCTTAAAGGGATGTAAGGATATTATGCACATTCTGCAGACTGCAGTGGAACAGCATTGCACTGGACGATATCAATTTCAACCATTTTGTTAGAGAATTTTGGTTAAATGCATGATTCTGTATATGCCATGCAACACTATTATTTCATTAGGTGCCAGCCCATCACTTGTTTTAAAAAGTTTTTGCTTCAAAAAGTTATATTGGGCTGATTTCATTAGTACGCATAATATGCTATGTCATTGTACAAGCAGAAAACAAACGTCCAAAAAGAAAATCCTAAAAATAGGATAAGTCCAAGCTTATCATAGAAGGTTTCCATCCATCTCTAGTGACAATACTTTCTCATAAATGTATTATACTGTCAAAGTTATTCAAACAGTTTGTATCCATCTAGAACTTCAATGATACGCCTTGAAGATAAAAACAGCAAACACAAAATGGAAAAACTGCATAAATATGAATATAGAGGGCTGATTTTTTATTATAACTTCAATAAAAAAGAAAGATACAAGTGATCTACAATTCAAGAGGTTGATCGACTCTCCCAAATAACATAGACGCTGATAGGTAGCCCTCACAAAAAGAAAACTACAGCAACTCTCAAATAAAATTATGCATAAACAAAACAAACTCTAAACTTGACCTTAAATAAGCTTCTCCTATTTCCCCTCCTAAATCAGCCCCCCTTTCCTAATATATTTCCCTTTTTAATTTGACTTTCAATTAGGAAATCCTTCCTAATTAATCCAATCCTAAATCAACCCCCCTTTCCTAATATATTTCCCTCTCCAATTTGAATTTTAATTAGGAAATTCTTCCTATTAATCCCTTCCTTAATTCCTCTTCTCATATATATAATGATAGATTTAATGGGCCCTACAAGGGGCACTGAATCCCTTGCCCTTTCCGCCCCTGGCCTACTGCCCTCTCCCGTATCAATGCTCCCCTTCCCAAAATGGACCATGTCCTCAAGATGAAAGGTAGGGAACTGTCTCCTAATTGTCTTGTATGTCTCCCATGTGGCATCATGCTCTAGCAGATCTTTCCATTTGATTAGCACCTCATGTGCCCCTGTGCCCCTGTGTCCCCTCTGCTCATACCCGCTGCTTCTAGGGGTCCCAAAATAACCTCAATGTCCTTGGCCAAAGTTGGGGGTAAAGATGATGGTGTATGCTCTCCTATCACCTTCCTCAGTTGTGAGACATAAGAGATTGGGTGCAAAGCTGATGAATGTGGTAGCCTCAGTCGATAAGTTACTGCTTTAATATGCTCCACGACCTCATAAGGCCCTAAGCGTCGCAGGGATAATTTTTCATTCCTCCTTCTAGCTATTGTTTTCTGTCTGTAGGGCCTCAATTTTAAGTAAATCATATCTCCTAGCTCAAAGTTTACTTTTATTATGTGCTCATCAACCTTCCTTTTCATGATCTATTCAAATCTCAACAATAACCCATTTAGCTCAGATATTAAATGTCCCTCTCTTATAAGTGTTGCTCGATGTTGGACATGAGTGTAGCACTTTGCCCATAATGAATCAGATGGGGTGGATCTCTCTCATAGAAAATCTTGAAAGGAGTGGTCTTTGCTGCTGAATGTTACGAGATGTTGTACCAATATTCTACCCACACAATCCACCTTGCCCAACTCTTCGGCGTGTCTGATACAAAGCATCTAAAAGGGATGAAGTGTACATACTTGCTCAAACGATCCACTACTACCAGTATCACTGAAAATCCCTCTGAACACGGCAAATCCATTGTCACCTCCTCCCACACCCTCTCTAGTAAAGCTAGCGGCAGTAGTAACCCTCCCGATGTCATGGCCAAGTACTTGTGCTTCTAGCACTCATCACATCTCACTACCCGGTCCTCTACATCGTAGCGCATCCCCACCAAATATAGTTCCGTTGATAGCCGTCTGTAGGTTTTCTAAGCTCCTAAATACTTCCAATTGCACTGCCATAAAACTCCTACAATAGCTTGGGCCTTGGGGATGAATCCCGACCCCCTCGGCAAAATGAATCATCCTTGATGTAGTAGCTGGGTGCCCCTCAGTATGTAATCGGGATGACTAGCCGGGTGCTGCAACAAATCGACTCTGATCTTCCTCAGACACTCATCTTGTTCACTCTCTTGTCTCAAGGCTTCCAAATCTAGGACCATAGGTATTGATAGAGCTGTCAATTGTGGCTCATCTATCTTCTATGATAGCGCATCTACAGACTTGTTCTCCAGTCTTGTGTGATATTGAATCTTGAATTCATATCATAATAACTTAGACAACAACCATTGATGTTCTTCAGTCACCATTCTCAACTCCAGTAGAAATTTTAAACTTTTCTTGTCTGTCCTAACGATAAAATGTCACCTCAACAAATAAAGTTGCCACTTTTGGATGGATGGGACAATCGTCATCAACTCCTGCTCGTATACAGGCTTGAGCCTCACCCTGGTAGTGTGCACTTAACTGAAATAAGAAACAAGTCAATGATCCTGCATGAGTATCGCTCCTAATTCATATCCCGATGGATCTGTTTCAACCACAAATGGTTTGTTTAAGTCTGAAAGTGATAATATTGGCATGTTGGTCATAACTTTCTTCAGCTGCTCGAAGGCCTTTGTTGTTGCTTCCCATCAATTAAAACTATCCTTTTTCATATGCTCAATCAGTGGCTATACTATCATGCCATACCCTCGCATAAATTTCCTATAGTATTTGGTGAGGCCTAAGAACTCTCTCAATTCCTTCAGGTTTTTAGATAAAGGTTAGTCCAACATAGCCTTAATCTTGGATTGGTCTGCTGCTACCCCTGCTTTGCTCACCACATGTCTTAGGTACTCCACCCATGGCTATGCAAAAGAACACTTCTTCAAGTTGGCATACTGCTAGTGCTCCCTCGAAATCTCTAGTACAATCCTCAGGCGACCCACATGCTCTGCCTTTGACAACTGTATATTAGTATGTCATCAAAAAACACCAAGACGAACTTTCTACTGTAGGGTTGAAAAACCCGATTCATGTGGGACTAAAAGGTGGTTGGGACGTTAGTAAGGCCAAAAGGCATCACCAAAAACTCTCATGAGTTTTGAAAGCTATCTTGTGCACATTCCCCGGCCTCATCCTGATCTGGTGGTATCCCAACTTCAAGTCAATTTTAGAGAAAATGACCGATCCAAACAGCTCATCAATCACGGGGATAAGAAACTTGTCCAGCACCATTTCCTTATTCACGTCCCTGTGATCCTCATAAAACCTGCAGCTGCAATCCTTCTTTCTCACGAATAACATGTGGATGGAAAAGGAGCTCACACTGGGCTTGATGGTTCCTGCCTCAAACATCTCCCTAGTGAGCTTCTCTATCTCATTTTTTTGAATATGCGGGTAACGGTATGGCCTAACACTGATAGCATAAGCTCGCTCAATCAAGGTAATGGCATACTCATGCTCTCGAGGCGGTGATAATCCGCTAGGCGGTTGAAAACCCTCAAAGAACTACTGCAGTAGTTGTCATACACCATCAAGAACCTCAGTTGGCTCTAAGTCTCAGACCTTTTCTAAGCTCTACACTCCACCAATTAGCTCGGCCCTGCTCCTTGTATTGCCCTGACCATGGTCTTGAGTGAAACCATGGTTTTGAACAAGCTGGCAGAACCTTCTCCCCCTCCACCTGAATCTCCACAGTTAGAGATTTCCAGTCTACCTTTGTCTTCATAATCGTGTCTGTAATCACTTCATCCCTACGATCACGTCAACACTCCCTAAATCCAAGGGAAGACAATCCTCCACTAGTTTTGTATGCCTTGAAGTGTTAGCATCACCCTTCTACAAATCACCCTACTCCTCTCCACTTTTCTTGTTCCCATCATAACTCCAAAGCTCCTTGTGTCCACCAACTTCAATCCCAACTGGTCCATGACCCAATTTGAGATAAAGTTGTGTAGACCCGCTATTCACCAAGACTACCACTAGCTAATCTTTGATATGTCCCCTCACCTTTATGGCGTGATTTGGAGTAAATCCTACCACAGAAGTTAGGGACACTTCCGCTACATCAAGGTGTAGGTGCTCTCTTCCTTCTTCTGCTTCCTCCACCAGTTCCTCACTATCAATCTCTTCCTCCTCACAAACCAAAAGAACTTAGAGAGTGTGGTCATTACACATATGGCTTGGTGCATATTTCTCATCAAAGCGAAAGCACAAACCTTTTGCTTTCTTTAGGGGTGTCAATATTTGACACGACTCGAAAACTCAACTCGAACCCGACCCGAAAATTTCAAGTTAGGATCAACCCGAACCCAAAACGGGTCGGATTCAGGTTCAACATTTTGACCCGTTTCAAAAATCGGGTTGGGTTCGGGTCAACCCTTTGACCCAAAATTGACTCGTTTTTTACCCGAAAACCCGATTTTGACCCGGCAACCCGTTTTTTACCCGAAAAAGAGGAAATATACCCGTTTTTTACCCGAAAAAGAGGAGATAGACCCGTTTTTGGGTTGACCCAGACTCGAAGAGGGTCGGATTCGGGTCAAGAAAACTGACCCGTTTTCAAAAACGGGTCGAGTTCGGGTTGACCCGAATAGTGTCGGGTCAGTTTCGGGTTCAACCCGAACCCGGCCCGTGACCCGAAATTGACACCCCTAGCTTTCTTGTCCTGCACCTCTGCCTCTGTGAGGCGCTTGAAGTTGGCCCCGGGCGAACTCCCCCACTCTTCTCCCTTGGTGCCTCCCACTAAAATGATACCATCTGGGTCCTCGATGCCAATGAAGTTGATATACTTCTGTAAAAGCCACCCACAACCCCGCTCTTACGGCTTCTCTCTATCTGCCTCATATCATTTGCTATTTGTGCTAGCTCCACCATCTCCTTCAACCCCCTCGGCCTCAGCAATCAAAGGTCCGCTCGTATGTCAGGCTTGAAGCCCTTCATAAAATTTTACTCCAAGATCGCCTCTGAAATTCCCCTCAAGTGTCCTGACAACAACATGGATTTCTGATGTAGAACGGGTAGGAGCTCCAAAAAATTTTAGTACAATTTCTGCTTTTGGTTTCCCAAAAAACCTGAGAAAATTCAATGATTCTTTCTAGAGAAGAAGAACCTGAAATTGTGCTCAGGTTTTGCTCCAGAAATCTGAGAGAACTCTCAGATTATTTAGTGTAGGAGATGGGACTTGGAAGAAGAGAACTCAAAGCATCCAAAGACTTAGCCTAAGGAGAGAAGGTGGAGGTTGGAGAAGTGGGGAGGCATTCAGATTTTTGTTGGACAGCTGTTTGAAAAGAACTCCCGTTGGTAGGGAGGCCAGGGGAAGATGTCGGAGTCCTGGGACAGCAGTTTTCCTAATGCTGAAGTTCAGAACAGCAGCCAATCTTCTTCTGGATAGCAGTGGGGTTGGCTGAAATTCTTGGACAGCCTGCAGGTGGTGTCCAGAAATCTGGACAGGCATGAGTTCGAATATGGGGGGATCTCGTGGCCAAAACGGAGATGGGGAGGAGGAAGATGAAGATAACGACGAAGAGCAATAAGAAGAAACAAAAGCAAATAAACAAAATATCAATGATACAACCGCGAGCCCGGACACATCCTGCGGCTGACGGGTACTACGTTGCCCTTCTCCTAGGGACTTCACGCCACGAGCCTGGACCCATCCTGCAGCTGGTGGAAACTCCGACTCTCTCCCATAGGGATTTCACTAACGTTCTTCCCAAAGAACCCAAGTGCAAAACGCAAATTTTTTTTTATTAATAATCCATCATCCAAATACAAGAGAAGAGACCTCTATATATAGGCCTCAAGAGAAATTAAAAGACACATTCGCCCCTTGGGCTTACATAAGACAAGAGGGTAAAAAGGAAAATTGCAAAACTAAATTAAAATACACTTAATAAACGAAATTAAAACAAAGTGATCTCGGTCGTCGATCTTCAGCTCCTCCCGGATTAGCATGGACGGTTGGATGTCCGCATCAATTTCTCCCTATATTCCATGGCAGTTCCCCATTGCGTCAAGGCAAGGAATTGCTCGTGTAGGTCTCTCATGAATGGCTCAGAAATATTCCAACAAAAAATCATTAAAACTCCTCCCACAAGCAGATCAGGTATCTAGCCTCTTTCCACTAGAACCAAACAAGAACTTTCCTCTCCAGACATAACCCTACAACTATAAGCTTTTCCTCCCCTCTTAACCCATTCACCACAAAGTACATCTCCACCCGATATACCCACTCATGGGCAACCTCCCATTCGAACACCGGCATATTCAACTTCCTCACCTTTGCTTCTCCAACCCAACTTTCTCTTCCACCGATAGTTCCCACGTCTATTGAGGGCGAGCATCCCACCTTTCTTCCATCCATCTGTCTCCCATGACCCGATCCCCATGGCTCGGCCCGTCCACCTCAATCTCCAGTTGTCCACTCCCCATGCCCAAATGGCCTTCCATGGTGGTCAGTCATCCTACCACCTCCTCCATAAAGCCCACCATAGAACTCTCTTCCCGCAATCCCCCCTTCCAAAAGCCCTATTCCACCCCTTATTGGGGCCCTAGGAGGTAACTCTTGATGAAAGGAACTTTCCTTGTCAAACTCTTACCTTCCGATCTCTTTTCCCTCCAATTCGGCCATGGGACCCTCGGTCAAATCATGGTGAGGATTAGTAATTGAAACCGCCAGTAGGGATTAGAATTGCATCTCCATGAGCTTCTTTATCTACTATTCTATACCTCCCAATCAGCTCTCAATCTGATTTTCCATAGTTGAAAATCTTTCATTCATCCCGAATTTGATTTGCTCCACTTCCCCTTCAAACGCTCTCCATCCCAAAACCTTGCTTTGATACCAATTTGATACGCCTTGGAGACAAAAACAACAAACACACAATGGAAAACAACAAAAATATGAATATAGATGGTTGATTTTTTATTATAACTTCAATTAAAAAAATAAAGGTGATCTATAACTAGAGACCCAAACAACCTAAACGCTACTAGGAAGCCCTCACGAAAAGAAACTATAGCAACTCTCAAATAAAATTCTGCATAAACAAAACAAACCTTAAACTTAACCTTAAATAAGCTTCTCCTATTTCCCCTCCTAAATCATCCCTCCTTTCCTAATATATTTCCCTCTCACATTTGACTTTCGATTAGGGAATCCTTCCTAATTAATTCCTTCCCAATCAACCTACCTTTCCTAATATATTTATCTCGCCAATTTGAATTTCAATTATGAAATCCCTCCTAATTAATCTCTTCCTTAATTCCACTTCTCACATATATAATGATAGATTTAATGGGCACAAAGCCGGGCCAAATCCTTGCACTTTCCGCCCCTGGCCTGCTGCCCTCTCCCATATTATTCAATAACTTCAATCCTCGTAAGACGTATCTGATTTTGTGTGAGTAGCACCTTAAAGAGAAAATTACGCATCACTTAATCAGCAGAAGATAATCAGCTTATAAAGAATTCAGATTTGTAATAAAAAAATGAACCCAAACATATCGATCAGAATTATACCTTACACGTGAAAACTCCGCCATCCGACGGCCAAACCTCTGCACCAGAAGCTCACTCTCCTGCTCAATGAAAGAAAGCTCTCTAACAGCTATGCTGTATGTTAGAGTCTCCCTCCTCATCATCCTATCCTCAATCTCCCCAACCTTCATCAATAGATCATTATATTCCTTCTCCAAATCCGAAATGTTTCTCTCCAACTCCTCCACTCTCCCCTTCATCTCCTGGTCATTTTCGGAGCTATCTGGCAAACTGTCCCTCGCCTTCATTGCCGCTCTTGCCAATTTCAGCACCTTCTCCGACCTCCGAGTCAGTTCCCTATTCACACTCCTTAGCTCCTTCAGTTCAGCATTCAAATTTCCAATCACCTCATCCTGGATCTTCTTTCTACTTGCCTTAACCTCCTTAAGAGCCTTCTTGACACCATCCATATCACCCTTCCCGGACTTTACATCTTCGATTCTTCTCAAAAGTACCGAAACCACGGATAATAGTCTTCGAGTGTAACCGGAGAACTCGTGGTCCGTCAAGTTCTCACCTTTCTCGCTCTTCTCGGACACGGCTGTCGCAGCCAGGGCAGGGCGAAGGCGGGCAGCGGGGATGGGAAAGAATGATACGGCTGCCATAAAAATGACAAAGGCAGCAGTTTTGCAGGCGCCATCGAGGACTGAGATTCCAATATTGGTGGGAGGTTTATGAGGTTGGAGACTGAGAAAAGAAGGGGAAGAGAGACTAAGACGAGGCAGGTGGAGCCGTCTAGGAGGCGTGGCGGCTGCTGCATGAAATAGGAGGCGGCGCCGATGGCTGGGAGGTCTGAGGAAGGAGTGAGGTAATGGCTGCAAAATGTGTAGAAGTTGTCGGGAAGAAAGAGGGTTGGGAGTAAGAATTGATTCCATTGATTACAACGGAATGGGGAGTTGGTGCTTCGTTTACATTGAAGATTTTGAGGATATCCAGGCGGATGAGAGCATACGGAAAATGAAAGCGGGAGGAATTCCTCTGGTTGCAGCGACGAGCGATCGCGGGGTTAAGATAGGGTTTTACATAACGCGCCGTCTCTACTATTTGTGTCGATAGCTCTCCACTTTTTTACAATATGTTCCTATTTAGGACTATTTGAATACACTGTAAAAGAATTGTAATGTATATGAATTATTTTAAAATATTTTTTTGATGAGCATAAATAAATATAAGATTTTTTTATTTTTTTATTTTTTTGCTTGAATTAAAATGAACGAATTTTAAAGTTTAAAGTTGGGGGGGTGGTTAGTGGCAGCGGCGACGATGGCCAACAATAGCAATGCTGGTGGTGGTGGCGGCGATTGTGCAATTAAATTCTAGAGAAATTTACATACATACCACTATATTTATAACCATTTATATATCTAACACCTAAAAATTTAATATTACTATTATACCACCTAAAACTCATTTTATATATCACTTCTACCACTCCGTCACTTTCCCACCTCACGTCGTATTTCTCCCCTCTTTTTATCGCGAATGTGAAAGAGCGGTGCGAGCAGCGAGTGGTCAAGGATTTCGGAGATCGCGAGAGGGGAGGAAGGTGAAGTCTATATCTTGCTTCTGAGATCGGGAGAAGGTATGATCCATGCCCTTCGATTCTTTTTTTTTTCCCGAAGATCTGTAGCAGGCGTCTTTGAGATCTACCGCTGCCAACTGTTTTTTTGTTGTTGTTTGCTTCCCTCCGTTTGGTAACCCTGCAGATGCTGATAAAGGCAAGTTTAGTCGGCAGTTGTTGTGGGTTTTTTTGTGATTTTGAGATCGGGAGGCTGATCCGTGCCCTTTTGTTTTTTTTTTCCCCGAAGCAAGGAATCATTATTTGAAAGCAGTGAATCAAATTTATCCCTGGCCTACTTGTTGAAAAAAAAGAAACATGTTACAGGATCCTTAGGGATAAAATCAGCTCGCTACTGCTCGAAAGAGCAACAAAACAAATCAAAATAAAACCAAAGAGCCAATTATCATCACTACCAAAAAGTACACCAATAACTAGTAACACTCTAAAGATGCTATAGGCAAGCATCCAAAAAAGACGGAAAAAATGATTATAGTTAAGGCCCTTCCATCTGACAAAAATTTGAGTAGCCTGGAAATATTGCCTCACCTGCAAAATATTAAAACAGGAAAAGGACGAGCTACACCAACATATAATATTAGGAACAAAAGGAAAATATTAATGGTAAGTGAAAAGGATAAAAGCCAAAAAGACCAGATTTTTCCAAGTTAAGCAGGTCATTAGAATCAGACTATTAGAGCTCAGGATATTATCACAGAATCTAGCTTCATTAACAAAGTCCACAAGCCACTCAATCCTACAGGGGGGGTAAGCCCAACTAACTACAGGAAACATGCTACATCTAACGTTCCAAAGAATAATAGGAAAAGACATTCTGAATATAATCCCACAGAGAACAGCAAAAGAACACCTCAACCAGTCCCATCCACCACAAAACATAACAGACCACGACGGAAACACACCCAACAGCAGCCCAGCAAAAAAGAAGAGAGTAGTTCAAATACAGCCAAGGATAAGAGATCCGATCAGAGTAATAAAGAGGCACCACCTTGAACCCCCACAATAATGGAAATCCTCCCACCCATAGCCCAACCAATACCCCCAGCCCCGATAGGAAAGCAACAATGGGACTTAGTCTCAGCATGCAAACCCACAACATCATAGCTCCAGTCTGAAAACTTAATGACATCAGCTAAACACAAAAAAATCGGACAATTACAGATAACTAAATCGCAAATAAGAAAATAACAAAAGCTGCTACTCCCACCCTGTAAAAAATGACAGAACAAATACAAACCGAGCATAATAAGGACCATCACAACCACTAGATAATAAGCATCCAACCAAAAAATGATACCAACAACCAAAACATAATTAAGAGATGTCACAGTAAGAACAAGACCACCACTGACAAAGGGCCAAAAAATTAAAAACAACCTAAACCACCACCAGCAACCAGACTAAAAGCTCACATAAGGGGTACCTCTTTCATCTAGATAAAGCAAGCCTTTAAGATAGCTGGGAATCGTAGTTGGAATAAAATTATTAAAGCAGTTCAAATTACAACCCCAAGTAGCAAGCCAAGCAGCACAAGAGTTACCCACCCTATTAACATGAGAAAGATGAAAATTAGTTTGCAACAAAAGCCTTTTAATTTCCCTAACAAGATAAAAGTTATTAGAAGAGCCCATTTCCTCCACATCTTGCAAAGGGGAAATATTGATGCCAGAGTTAACTTAAATGTACAAGTTCGTTAAGTTAAGAGGAAGGCAAAGCTGCACACCATAGATAATAGCTTTTAAAATACTAATTTGACCATTACCTTGTTGAATCAGACCCGCAAAGACAACCAGAAGATGGCCAAAAGAATGCCTTATAAGGCCACCACAACCATTCACTACATTCGAATTAACAACAGCAACATTCAATTTAAAGAAATTAGGTGGAGGTTTACACAAATAAACAATATTAATAGCATTGGGAATCCGATCCCAAGTGATCCCTAACAAAATGCTAGCATTATAAGAATTCTTAAAACTCTTGATGGTTATCAAATTAATAGCCACCAAAGCTAGAATCTGTTACAAATCTGTTTTCATGGATTATATTTTGATGATTAGAAAACACTCTTGTTTCTCTACGATTGCCTTTTCTACTGACATTTCAGGGCCACAAGATCGGACATAAATCGAAACTAGCTCAAGATTGGGTAGACTAGGTCTGAATCAGTTTGTAATTTTCTTTTTCCCTTTCTTGAGTCAATTGTAACCATTGAAGTGTTTTAATGCTAAGTAACCCTATACACACACACTTGAGTAATTTTTTTGTCTAAATTAGAATTTCTATTTTTACTCACATCGTCTCGGGTGATATTATTATTGTCCTGGAAGATAGGGTTCAAAACAGAAACCCTAATCTGTCATCTTAGTTAAGGCAGTCGTCATTAGCCAATCAGCCTGGACGATACATGTATCGGCCAAGAAGATAGGCTTAAAATAGAAAGAATCAGCCGTCATAATCTATTTAGGCATTCTTTATTTTTGGCATCGGCCAGGACGATCTTATATCGTCCTGGACGATTTGATACAATTATGCCTAAATTAATATGGTAATTAAGAAGATCAATTAAGGATGATTGATACAATAACATCATCCTGAATGATCGCAAGATCGGTCGGGACGATCAGTTTAAAAACCTTAGTTACTCCTCGACAATAAATATCGAACAGCTCAAATTCCGGGCGATGGTCTGGCCGATCAGGATCGGCCAGCTCAAATTCCAGGCGATACTCTGGATGATTTTTCTCTGATTTGAACTAATCATCCGGGACGATCATGAGATCAGCCGGGACGATCAAGCTATATTTTGGAATCGTCCATAACTCTTTTCAGAGCAATTTTCTGACCGATGGTTTGTGATTTGAACTAATCATACAGGATGATTTATAATCGTTCTGGACAATAGGAACACTTTTCTTCTATTTGTCCTAGATCATCCCGACTGATTAGGCTCAAATTGCATTGATCGTACAGAACGATATTAATATCATCCTAGACGATAATGTCGGCAACTTACAATTAATGAGATATTTTGAAGCTCTTCTATTTAAGGGCTATTGTTCAACATTTTGAACAATCTTTTGCTGCAGTCTTAACCTAAGAAAGCCTAGAGGAGAGAGAGAGAGAGAGGTAGTGAGAGATGATCTTGTGAGGGGGAGCTTGTGAGGGAGATTTACAAGGGTTGCTCCAAGCATCGCTCCACTTCTTCTTCCACTAGAGTCTCTTGTCCGTGAAAGGGTTGGGAGAGATAAGCTTCAGTGGTTGATTGATGTTCTCTGCCTGCTTCAGAAGGAAGAAAAAGGAGTTGGGTTCTCTGCCTTGTCGGGGGTGAAAAAAAGGAGGTTTTTGTAAGGGCTTCTTCACCTTGCTGTGGGAGCAAAAGGAAAGTCACTTTGGTAGTGCAATACTTGAAGGACGCCTCCAGGGAGTGGACACAGGTCGAGTTGACCGAACCACTATAAACCTCTTTGTTATTTTTTCTTGCTTCCACGCTTAATTTTTTCATACTTATTTTTTCTGTGGTGATTTTGGTTTGAGCTTTATTGGTCTTTGATTTAAATATTTTTTAAAATACCAATTCACCCCCTCTCTTGGTTACCCTTGGACCAGTTCATAAGGGCCTAACATCCCTAACAAACTTTCAAGTGGTATCAGAGCGGGATTCATAAAAACTGAATTTAAAAAGTTTTTGAATTTTGATTCATGGCTAACTTCATAAATCATAACACAACTGAAGGATATTCTATTACTCGACCACCCTTGTTTGACAATCTGCCTTTTGATTTTTGGAATACTTGCATGTTTACTTTTTTACAATCAACTGATTATCACATGTGGATGCTTATTAAAGAATGATATTCTCCACCTTCTCGTGAACTTAATGGAATTAAAACTAAAGTGTCTTTTACTGAATAGACTTTTGATGAAAGAGATTTAGCTCAACTTAATGAAAAGTGTTTGAATTATTTTTTATGTGCTTTAAAATCTGAAGACTACATGCATGTTTCTACTTGCTCTACTGGAAAAAAGTTTTGAGATAGGCTGTGTATTACTTATGAAGGAGCCAATGAAGTTAAGCAATCTCGTTTGAATAATCTCTTGCTTGATTATGAACTTTTTCATATAAAATCTTATGAATCAATTTTTGATATGTTTACAAGGTTTACTTAAATTATAATTTCTTTGCATGCCTTGGGAAGATAACTTTCAAATTATGAAAAAGTGAATAAGATTTTGAGATGTTTTTCTTCCTCTTTTGATGCTAAAATCACTACAATCACTGAATCTAAAGATTTAAATACATATTTGATTGATAACTTACTTGGCTCACTTATTGCTTTCGAGCAAGGGATGAATCAAAAAAATCTTGATGCAGGTGATAAAAAAAGGAGAAAACTATGGTATTAAAGGTCAATAACACGAACTCCGATTCTTCCGGGTCTGAAAGCGATGACATTGCCTTAATCACAAGGCAATTCAAAAGCTTTCTA